TACGGTATTCATTGTTATTACCTGGCGATGGCCAAGTGCCGAAACGTTGCATTATAATGGAATGGTTCAGATTTGCAGAGAATTGTGGAATGGGTGAATTCACCCAATTGTGTAAATACTATGAAACTGCAGGTAGCCTCAAAACTTCTTCTCTATACCTCATTTGTTTAATTATTAGAGCAATAACCATAGCTTGCACAGTCGACCACACCTTTGCGGAAAAGTTGCGAAGTAGTTGTTTGTGGAATGAAGAAAGTTGCGATTTCTTCCTAAACAACGGAAAGTTGCGAAAAAAGTGGCTCGCGTCTTTGGAAAAAGGCTACTCCGAACCCTTGGCCATGCAGACTACCAGCACTGATCAGGGAATTGCACACAATTGTGTAGCTCACATACTGGAATTGTGGTACAATCATGTAGTTTTGCTCCTACCTCCGAAAGGATGCCTAATTATGCTCCAAATTTTCGACCACCAACTTATGCCAATAGTTATGCCGGCATAATCCGCCGGTGCCTATAGACCAAGTAGGGAAGCCGTACTTGAAGAGGGGGAGGATGTATGCCGAACACCGAAAATTTATGACATTTCGCCTAATATTCCGTTTCTTAGAAATTTCAACAGCCTGTCAAATATTCCAAGATCCCTGATTATCAGAAAATATGAAGGGAACTGAAATCTCCTTCACCATATTCGATTGGGAAGCATACGGTCCCTTCTAGGAACATTGTACAAATTAAGGTTAGGTCCACCTCATTCGGTTTCCTCTCAATCCCGATGATAGATCCTCGAGGATAATGTAATTAAAAAATTGAAAAATGCAGTAATGACACCATTTGATTTGAGGGCAGTATGTGTAGGGTTTTTCGTACATACTTTATAAAAAAATGTGAAAAGAGGTTCTGCCTATCAAAGGCCATACACCTACTTTTAGGCACATATCGTTGACAGAGGTACCCAAGTGTATGGTTGTTGTCCCACGTCCGTAACCTGAAAATGTCTGGCTGATAGTATCCGTATATGTAATCATCCCGAATCGCTGGAAATTTTGAATCCCATGGAAGCTGTGCCGTAACGGACCACAATGCAGCTTCCCATTTCCAAGCAATCCAATTTCCGGCACTCCATGTACCAGTCAGGCCTACCCACGTAGCGGACGTTCCCTTCGCTGTAGAGTTGGCACACTGGAGCTGAGCCATCGTCTGAACAGTAGACAGTGATCCGCCAAGTGACCGACAGGATATGTTGGCGTCTTTCCAGGTTTTGTGGTCAAATCGAAAAGTCCAATCGACTTGCCAAGTGCTGGTGTTCGTTTGAGCACACGCGTCCCATCTAACTGTATAGAGTGAATCAATGCACAAACCTGAAATTTTATTGGTGGGTCTGACAATATAATTCCATTTCACGTCAATTTTTGAATCCTGATACAACTAACACCAGTCTTCATCATATGTTGATGTTTATGGCCGAAGTTTGTTTAAACAGAGATGAAATTACAGAGATCCGATTAAATAATCGGCCATTGGCTCTTCAGGCAGCATTAGTTGTCTGATGATAACCTATGGGCATCAAACTTTACGTTAAAACGAATCATCTGTGGTGATCTGTGTCGTTCGTGCTTTACACATGTACATGACATTGTTCCTCGTTCTGGGGCTGCTCATGGGGCCTTGTGATTTGGCCCAGTATCTGCGAAAATGGACCTTAGGGTGATTTTTCACAAAATGACTCTTTTCTGCTGTTGTCATCTATAGGTATCTAGTGATCACATGGCAAAGTATTAGACCAAACAAAGCAATATTGATGACCCAGAAGCTTCTCAAACAAGCATAGGTACATATCAGGAAATACAACAATTTATCACAGTATTTTCCACATCGGAATACTATGTGTTACAGTGAAATAAATAAAAATAGACAGTGTAATAAATCCTCCATCCAGTTTTTGTTGTAAAACAACTCTTGCGAGTCTTGGGTAACCTCTGGCATAGAGCATGGATGGCCTTGATCCTCATCACTGCATACCAATGAAAACTGTTTGAACCCCATCCCAAGTCTGCTGAAAATCCAGAGAAGTGCAGAACAGGAGGGAGGGTGGCTACAACTACACCTGGAGTCCCAGTCTGTGCATCCCACAGGGAATACGACACAGGCACAACATTCTAACACCCTACACTTCATCTCATACACGATTTAGAGGTAGTCCATCACTGCTGCAGCTCTGTGAAATTTGAGCTCTGTGGGAACTGGCTGCATTCGCGTCAGTGCGCCATGATTCCAGCACTGAGCGCAGAGTGTTCGTAGCTCATCAATCAATGTTCAGCACTTGGCGTCTTGCCCCGTCCAAGGGGTTTGGTGTTCACCACGGAGTCCAGCGTGGGAGCCTGGGAAAACTCAGATCATGTCACTAGCGGCAGCGCTCTTTCGTCCTGACTCGAGTTGATCCAGGACATTTCAGTTCGTCTACCTCTGTTGCCGTCGCCTCACTAGTTTCTCCTCGTTGAGTATTTCTTCTGAGCAGAGCTATACTAAATTCAGAAGGGCCCTACAAGGATTTTCAGATGTCAGAAAGTACTTTTGCCAGCAGAGAGCTCCTTTGGCGGTGCGCCTAAATCAAGTTGAAATTCTGGTCGCTAAATAGGAATTGCGCGTCGACAAAAACATCTTCTGGAAACTGTCGTTGTTCTCTATCAGACGCGACGATTCCGGCCTAAGAAATCCAATGACTTCTGGCAGAGCCGGACGGCAGCTAGCTGGCCATCGTGAACGAACTCTCCTTCTACTAGGACGATCAAAAGCATTCATTGTTGCGATGAACAAATTTTTTGTTTGAATGTGCAGAGCGCGAAGCAAGAGTTTTTTGCCGTTGCAGAAAATGACTTATTCTGAAAAAATGATTTTCACCCGAAGGTCGATTCTCGCTGATACTGGGCCATTTGTAAACTGATTTGTGACTGGTCATGGCTGGTTTGTGACTGTTTGACTGAGCGTTTTGGCCTTGACTGGTCACTATATACATACTCAGCCTGCACAGGCACAGCAAAGGCGCGAAGTACATACGAATAATGCATATCAGAAGAAGGCGGAACTCATGTTGCACGTAAAGTAGTGCGACCAGTAACAGTTGGAAAATTACTGCTGGCGAAATAAAATTATTCTACAATGCACTGCCATTATCAGTTATTTATCATGCAAGACACTTGTAGGACGTTCTAGAGCTAGGGTCCAGCAGATAATGCCGGCATTTTTCGGCATTATGAGACTATTGGAGCATCAGAAACATTATTGAGCATTAGAAAGGAACAAGACGAGCATTATGTTAGACTGGAGCGGCATAACGTGTTTCAAAGTGGATACATTTAAGATTTTTGGCAACAAACGGCTAAAGCCATGAGGTGAAACGCCATGTATTGTACCGGCACATGCTTATTGGGATATTGCAGACACGTCACACCTATAGCACGAATGCTACATTTACTTGACTACATTCAAGTACATGTAATACCATTGATACCTTAAGTCTTTATGTAGCAATGTAGTCAGGTAAATGTACATGTGATGTAGCATGCCCCACGTTGCAACTGAGGCTGTTACACAAAATGCGTAACGATGATTTACCAGGAGTTTATTTTAGAAATCATGGAGAGCCACGGAGGAGACTAGACGTACGCGAAATGAATGTCAAACAGACGAAGAAAAGTTTTCCTTTTATGCCATAGGCTCTGGCCACAGCATCTCAATCGATACTGAAGTAAACACTGATCCATTGATAAATTTGGACCTGGATGATTGGGCGGCTACGAACAGAACAGGCGTGTTCCAAATAACTGCCTTTGCCAAGCCCACCTCAGCAGGCTCAAAAAGAACTCGAATTTCTCATGGACCGTACCAAGTCGATTTAAGTGCTCAGCAGCGCGTATCTTGCTTTCCCGGTGAAGCACGTACAGTTCGTCGTGGACGATTGTAATACAAGGCCTGCAGTCAAGTGCTATCAGAAAAGCAGGGTATTGTGGCCAACCATTCGTCTCTACGCAACCTCGGGAGAATAAGACAGCCAGCGGCAAGCAGAGGATGTAGAGCGGCAAAAGCACGTTCAACGACGTGTTTTGAAGTTTTCTGGAAATGGGAGAGATCTCGGCCCGAGATCGTCTCTCAGGAACTGGCCTCACGTGAGCTGTTTCAGATGAGACATTTTCACAGAGTGGAAGGACTGACAGCTTTACTGCAGGCAGGAATGCCTCTTTCCATATTTGAACTTCCTTCATCCAAATGATCACCAGCAATAATGGTTTCACCTCTCACTACATGGATAAGCAAGGGAAAAGATTTGATACACCCATTATTCAGCCTCAGCCCTGCATCAAAGTTGCAATGGAGAGCAGCCAATGGAGACGCGATCATGGCATATAGTGCTAAGAAGTCGTGGCGTTCATGAGAGATATTATAGCAGCTTCAGAGGCAGATCGACCAAAAGGAATCCTTTCCTGGAAGTTTGACAATGTGCAGCCTTTCTTCCATTTTTGTTCCAAACCAAGAGCATTATAGCCCTTGTTGAACAATTAAAACAGCATTACAAGGTTGGGTTTGGAGCAATATTAAGTAGCTTTATGGGAACATTTTCGGAGCGTTACCCGCTGGACACTAGCTAGAGGAAATAATCAGTCAGTTGTAGAAGGTCAGTACGGTACATTAGTGTCGTGCAATGTTACCACTATAGCAGATTTAAATAACCGACGAGGAGACAACAGTTGTAAAAAAGCAATGAAAAATATCAATTGTGCACTCATAACCAAGTATCAAACAATTAACGTTTAGGAAATTAGAGGCCACATGCCACGTACTGCTCTTTTCTCTCCGAAACTCAACGCTTGAAAGCCAGATATGAAAGAAAGAAAAAATCGTCAGTCACACAACCGCACACAACCGGGACTCGAACCAGGGACCTTGCTATTCGCGAGGAATGCTCTAACGAACTCAGCTACAGAATTACTCTTATCCACGGTGATGGTAAATCTATCCGTCTGAGAATGGTAGCAGCAGATGAATGTGGCTGCTGTGAATGCGTGTGGACAAAACTGGTAAGTCCGCATTATTTAAAACTATGCGTGCTACAACATAATAATGGGGATGGACAGGATGATCAGGAGGACAGCAAGGGCGAGCAGGATCAGGAAGTGGAGGATGAGAGTGATACTGACGAGTAGGAGTTCGATATCGACAAGAACAAGTCTGGTATCTACAAGCATTTGGTGTCCTGTCCGTATTGTCGTAAGTTGTTTGACGATTCCTGGTTGAAATATGGTGCGCACGTTTCTTTAAGCAGTTGCAGGTGTTGGAAGCTTTATATGTTCGTAAACGTGACCCTGTACTATGCAAGCAAAAAGAAAATGTTGTAGCACTCACACTTTTAAATAATACGCACTCACTAGTTTTGTCCACACGGAGACACAGCTGCCAAATTAATCTACTGCTACCATTCTCAGATACACTGCATAAGTTCACACTATACGCGTTACGCATAACCGCGAGCTGCTGCATTTTCACGCTTCTTTTCATATTACTCTAGCTATAGAACTGGTGATGTGATGATGATGTGGACTTCATCAGTATCTCTAGTGATTGGCTTCGGATGTTAGAGCCACAAGTTGCCACTATCTTGGGTACATGGTCCCTTACCGTCAACCAGACCAAGACAGAATTCACAGCCATCCAGCGAGTAACCGATCGTGCTGATGAGCCATGGCGTATGGTCAAGAAACTCGGCTCTCTCCTTGGTGATGCAGAGGATGTCACCCGCAGAAAGCAGCTTGCGGCGATAGCGTTTAAGTCCCTCTGCCAGTTATGGAAGAGAAGAGACCAAGTGAGTCTGGAGGTGCGCGTCCGGCTGTATAACTGCTTCGTGTTACCTGTCTTGCTTTACAACTGCTCCACATGGGGCATCACTCGACAGACAATTGAAGCGCTGGAATCGTATCATCGGCGGCAACTTCGGCATATCTTGGGTATCAGGTGGCCCAACCGACTGTCGAACGATTTGGTTTACGAGCGCTGCAGTGCTGCTCCACTTGGCAACATTCTGGTGAATGCAAGATGGCGGTTGTTTGGCCACATCCTGCGATCAGATGAGCACACACCGGCTAGGGAGGCCATGAGTGGATTCTTTGGCTGCTCCGTGCCGGGATACCGTGGGCGGCCGCGGATCACGCTACCAGTCCTGCTGAATCAAGACGCGGAGCGAGTCGGCTGCCGTCTGAGGACTCCAAGGGACTTGCAGCTGATGGCTCAGGGAGCACTGGATCGCCGTGAATGGACATATCTGTGCAACGCAGCTTCAGATGCGTACAAGGCAGAGTACTGGTGAAGGAAGTTGGCACTGCAATGGATTGAGCTACATTCTTTGTTGTTGGTACCCTGATTATCCGTATTATCCGTATTCACATGGCCTTTGCCATTCATTCAGTATGTCATCAATAATGATATTCTTGTTTGTATTAGTTTATGTGACACCATTTTCTATTTTTCTTTGCCTGCCTGCCTGCTGGCGGCCTTTTTTCGCATGGTTCGGTGCAAGCGAATTTGGGCGAGCCCATTGACGCGGGAGCACAAATAATAATAATAATAATAATAATTTTACAAGAAGTCGGAGGCGGATAATACTTTAATAACGAAGGTACGTGTTAGGTCGTAAGTATCCACGCAAACACACATCCAGTCAAAATAAGGCACTTGTCAAAGTATCCGAACGTTTTCGGTCCCTTCTCATCAAGGATTATACAGGGAATGGCTCAAGTTGAAAAGACTAAAACTTATATAGCGTAAAGATATGAGATAACAACACTCGTGACAAGGTGAAAAAAGTATCAAGTTCAGCACGACACAAAACTCGAAGGACATAATAATAGCGACAAGAACATAGTGAGCAAATTAAGTTACATTGTTAACACCTCGACGAGGAGTAACACCAAACAATTGTAGCGACAACACATTTTCTTTTTGTACGCAAAGTTCAGGATCTAACTTACGGATATACAAAGCTTCTAACGCAGCCAGATGCAACGCACATCTACCACGTGACAATATTGAGAACACATTATCACTGTACAACTCACGACAATTGGTACGGGCTGACAGATGTTGCTTGATGGACGAAGTGCGATTCTTAGCTCCGTTGGGTGTAGTCTCCTCCAATGTCCCGTCATCTCGCCTCTTCGCGGCATCACCACTATCCGTCTCTCTGCTTTTCCGCGGCCTTCCACGTTTTCTGACACTAGCCGTTGTGTGCGCGATGCCCAGTGTCCTTTCAGCTACGTCTCCTCCATTGCTGATTTCTATTGATCTTCTTACTCCAACTTGTCCGGTGTTCGATATTGAGGTTCATTTTCGCGGTCTACCACGTTTTCGAATATTGACTGTTGTTGTCACTTCCGTTGTCGTTGTACGTGCGTCCTCACCAGTCCGTATTTTTACTTGGCTTCGCGTAACCCTTCCCGACGCAGACAGATCCTTTGTCAATTTCGGTGGTTTACGTGTCGGTCTTTCACCATCTTTCACGCTGTTCTCAGCTGGACCCTGCGCTATACACGCGGAGGAGGACGGGCATGCAGTGATATCTTCACAGGAAGAGGAAGATCCACCGATGGACTGGACAGCACATTTTGGAGGACGACCACGGCGAGGACGACACTCACGCGCATCAAGCGGAACAAAACTTAACGGCACATGTTGACGAATGCGCGCGCCCAGGTGCTGAAGGGTTCTAACTACATACCGATCTTCACATTGTCGGCATTGAAAGAAATAGATAAGGTTACTTTTACTAAGGGTAGGTAGAACATCCTTCTTCACACTGAACGCACGCACTGTCCCAAATATGACGTACAGCTTGACGCACGGATAAGATGGACATACGATACCACGAACATCCTTCTCCACGCGCGCAGAACCGGCGCCAACCCAGGGTAAACGGAGCACCACTGGGCAAAGGTCAGACATTGACATTGGAGGAGACTACACCCAACGGAGCTAAGAATCGCACTTCGTCCATCAAGCAACATCTGTCAGCCCGTACCAATTGTCGTGAGTTGTACAGTGATAATGTGTTCTCAATATTATCACGTGGTAGATGTGCGTTGCATCTGGCTGTGTTAGAAGCTTTGTATATCCGTAAGTTAGATCCTGAACTTTGCGTACAAAAAGAAAATGTGTTGTCGCTACAATTGTTTGGTGTTACTCCTCGTCGAGGTGTTAACAATGTAACTTAATTTGCTCACTATGTTCTTGTCGCTATTATTATGTCCTTCGAGTTTTGTGTCGTGCTGAACTTGATACTTTTTTCACCTTGTCACGAGTGTTGTTATCTCATATCTTTACGCTATATAAGTTTTAGTCTTTTCAACTTGAGCCATTCCCTGTATAATCCTTGATGAGAAGGGACCGAAAACGTTCGGATACTTTGACAAGTGCCTTATTTTGACTGGATGTGTGTTTGCGTGGATACTTACGACCTAACACGTACCTTCGTTATTAAAATAATAATGATAATAATATAAGAAAGGGTTTGCTCCCCACACCGGAGCTCGCGCTATTCCGCCGACTTTACTTGACACTTGACTGACTCACGACTGCCATCCAGAGCACACGAGAAGTCCATCGAACCTTCGACTCGGCAAACCTGCAAGAAAGCACCACTCCCTGCTCAATACACAGTGTTTCGGGGAATTCACCCCTCATCAGTTGAGCTTGAGTAGGCTGAGGAAGATTGTGCCTGAAGAGCACCACTTATATAGTGCTCTCCAGGTACAAACATCACCAGGGATACAAACTTACAGAGACGCTCCGCTTCCAGCGCGATAAACACCTCGTGAACACCAGATAGCAGCGTGAGTCAGTGTCGCTCCTGGACGGTGAGACCAGACGTTGAGGACCCTCGGTCATTCGCAACGCTGTCACCTCCAAACCAACTAGTCGCAAGCCCGCGCTGCAGATAAAGGTAACTGGTGGCGTTAGTGGACAGTATAACGTAACTTTTAGTTCCTTAGTCCTTGTGTTTGCCATTAATGTATCTACTGTATTACCTTTAGGCAATGTTGTAATGTAGAAATCTTGGGAGATGCTGCTGTTTATTCCAGTCGTAGTGGTGTAGAATGCTCGGACTCGGTACGTCGTGTTGGTACTCAGGTTTGCCAAAACGGTAGACTCACTTGTGCCACAAACCGAAGTTGTGACAGCCGCTGTCCTGTTGTCCGTGTACACAAAGCAGAATCGAGATATCCATTCCCGAAGTACCTGTGGCTGCACTAAACGTGCGAAGATCTCAGTTTCGGTGGAGTCGACAGCTACGTTGGAGGGTTCTACATAGGAGAAAACATAGTATGGACCGTTTGAACTGACAATGTAAAAGGAATTTTTTTTATTGAACCTCTATATTTTTGCCTGGGAGCCTGGAAGCCATTGCCCATGACAGACCAGCATGGCGATATCTATGCATGAGGGTCTGTGCATTGTGATATTTCGACAGATTCTGAAACAGTCAAACTCAGTAAATAGCGCTATCATTATCACTCAGGCTGCAATATTCATAATTATAGACAAATTCATAAATGTCCATTCCATTTGTATCTAATATTATTAATTTATTTTGGAAGTGAAGTGAACCTATGCAGCGAAGAGACCGTAGTTGGAGAGTTCGAAGTGAGGTACCCTGTAATATATTCATAAATGAAATATCTTCAATACCCATTAGCTACATTGTATTATATTATTATAAGTACACAAGAGAGAGTTTGGAAGCTTTGTCACAACTCCGAGTTTCACGTATCTCGTATCTCTACGATCATTATAAGTATCAAAAGTATTAAGAGAGCATGTCTGAGAAAACCAGAAAATATGTGCAAGTCGATCTCTCAGATTTCGCTCAAATGTTGCAGGTAGGTTTGCTTTGGGGTGTAGATCGACATTCCAAAGCCCGCGCAAAATCTTTTGAAGACAACCATGAAATTGGCATACCCCTCAATATTGGCCGAATATTGGCACGATTTATGGGTATGCAAACGAGCAACGGCACAGCGTACAAGAACAAGCTACGAACAAAACTCCATCAAGCTCACATTACCTCACCTGAGGAGAGTTCTTGGGGCAGCACCACTAAGCAACGCCAGCATCCCCGAAGACTAGGGCAATCATCCCTTGACGCCACAAATGATGGTCTTGAAAATAGCCAGATTACAAGCGCTGATAAAACAGCGAGCTACGTCCTCAATTAGCAAACACTATACACCGGCAGATAGTAGAACACCTCTTCTAGCACTGAGGACATGTCCCCCATCATCCTTTTTGGGTTTTCTTGAAATAAACAGTTTTGAATTTTTCCACTCGACCATTCTGAAATACGTCCAAACTCATACCTGCGCAGGAAAGCTCGCCCCTCCGCGACGTCTAGTCAGCAATTTCTACTCCAACACCACTCCCAACGCTGCAGAACAAAGTGTATTGTTGACTCTGACAAGGAAAAGCAGCGGTGATCACTTGTCACTCCGAACGACAAGCTTCTCCTTGCGCCATCAACATTTTCGGTACAACAGTTGATGCAAAAGTGACTGAATTTTTGCGTGTAGTTTTTGGATTTTACTGCAAGAGAAATCGGAGAGATCCACTTGCACACATTCTTTGGTATTCTCAGACATGCTCTCTTAAAGACAAAGATGAATTAAGAGTACAAACTCGCGAGAGTTTCCCTGTCAAACATAACGAGAGAGGACATAATAATACTTTGATTTCTTTGTCCATCACCATTTTACATACGTAACATGTCGCTTCATCTCATTCTGTTTATACTTATTTTGTTTACCTATCTGAACTGTGTTTAAGTCATTTTGGTGCTGCAAATCTCCTTTCATCTTCGTACCAGGTATAAAGGATAAATTTTATCACGAGTAATTTAATACGTGGTGAGCACTATAGCTGTGATATGGTAGTAGCGGTCATTGCAAACGTCACAGGCCGAGTTACATAGTTGATTGGCGAAAGTGGATTACCCCTTCGAAACTTCATTTATTGCCAAAAGCCCATAGTATAATTTTGAATTGTTTTCTTCTTCACACAGTGAATGCATACGATATTAGGTCGGTGAATAGGCAGAGTGTTGCTTGAAAGTCGGCATGAATTTCTTAAACCAATGTTACTAAAGGTAACTGATATTTATTCGCTAGTGTAGTCCTACATAGTATACCTTACCATTTGGTGTATATCTTTGACAGTAGAAACTTAGCTTCATTGTGCAAGATTCGACTCCGAAACCCTCTTTTTCAGGTAAATAGTAACCACATTTTCTTTCTCCACTACCTCCTGTTGTTGAATTTATCCAGGGAACTGTGCTCGGTATGGATGGAACTGGTAACACCCATGTCCAATTTTTAGATGTTCGTTGTAGAGCAACCCACACATTGCATGTATTGGCTTTGCAGCCAGACGAGGCAATCTTGCAATTATCGCTTGAGGAACTGCTGCATTGACCATTTCGTGGCCCAAGCACTGACCTTGCGCACTCTGCATGGTTTAAGCTTTGGATATTGGCCAGAATGCTGAATCTCCCTGCGCAATCGGTGGTGGCCTCATCATATGTCTTAGGCGTTGGATTGTAAAGTATCTCCATGCGTCCAAGAGATTTGCTCGCAGAGCACCCATACCAGTTATCTTCACCAAAACACAGTTCGCATTCCGATTCAGCCATGATAAAAAAATGGACATATGCACATAGAAACATTCGAGGCACATGGGTTAGATTGCTCGATACACAAAATTGCATATGGTTCAGGAAGACATGCACGAACACCTAAGGAAAGGGGTTGTCCAGCTCCGACTTGAAGTCTCACATATTATTAGGGAGGGCACCATCAGACATTTCAACTTTCCACTGACGTTTGTTTGCGAGTCTTGCTGGTGTGAGTCAACAATTATTCCCCGTATACATTCCACGGCTATTTTCAGAGCTGAGCCTTTAAAATCTATTGCAGCAGAGTATATTGGTTTTGAAGCTAAAGTGACACATGGAGCACAGGAAGGAGCAACACAAGTTGGAGATTGTTTTATTGGCTGGCAGTGGTTTAAATAAATTATAGACTCTGAAATTTCAACACTCAGATAATTTGAATACTATTGGAGCCGGCGCAAGCGAAAAACCGGATAACGGAGCTACGTCATGAACTGGGAAAACGGCTTGAGAAGTTTGAATACGGGAAATCCCCATTCAGCGAAGCGTGTCGCGTGTTCAATGCTTTGCTACGTCGCGAGTATGTGACGCAGTGTTCTATGGCGCGGATCATCGCGCAGCAGAGTTCCTCAGCTTTCTTTTGCTTTTTATTTGAAGGAAATCCGTCAAGGGACGGCTGAGTTTCGGTCGCTTGACTGAAGTCGATTTTACTCTGGAGGATCGTGCTTGCACTCTTCGCTCTGAAATTTTAAAATAGTTTGGACTTTGAAGTTAGTCGATGATTCTTTGACAGCATGAGCAGACGAGCTACGTTCACCGTGGACGATGCCCTCGCTGCTCTGCTCCTTGAAGACGAGGAAGAATTTGTACGCTCAGTTGCTCTTGACGGGCCAGTTGTCCAAAACGTTTTGGAGGAATCTGACGACGATGATGACAGTAGTGACAGCCATTTCCTCGACAAGGAGCTCAACATCGATATTGCTGCCCATCGGTATGATGAACTGAGCAGCACCGACGACGGTGATGGAGAAAAAGAGACAAGCGATGCTGACGATGTATTTGAGGACCTAGATGCTGGTATGGACGTTCCCCAACATGCTGCAACTGCAGCCACAGTTTTGCCAAGATGTGGATGTTCAAAAAATTGTTTGTCACTATTTTCTATTGAAGATGTTGATCAGAATCGGCTGAACATGGCAGAGCTGGAGCGACCTGATTTTGATTTACTGCTGAGTGGTGTGCTGGAGGCTATGCATTGCGGAGACAAGCTCACTGTCCACCAGAAAAAGCGTAAACGCTCAGCTTTCAAGTACACTTTCCAGAGCAAGCGAGTGTGTGCCGGTGCGTTCCGCTACATCTTTAACATCAAGAAAGATAAACAGTGGAGTTTGTGTAAGCACGTGGAAAGCAACGGTGCAACGGCGCGGCGACACAGCAATGCTGGTCGACGACCATCAAACGCTTTCACGTTTGAGGTAGTCAAATACGCGGTTACTTTCATAAAGTCTCACGGCGAACACTATGGCATCCCACACCCTGCACCACTACATGGTCGAGATGGCGTTCCTCCCGTGTTTTTGCCTGCAAGCCAGACATACAAGGCTGTGCACAAACTGTATGTTACTGCAGGGAAGTCGGCTGGCATTCGTGTCATGGGAGAATCTTCCTTCCGCAGCATCTGGCACCAATGTACGCCGCATTTGAAATTTATGTCTCCACGGACTGACGTGTGTGATCTGTGCGAGAAACTACGCCGTCGGGTCATGTCAGCTTTGACTGAGCAGGATAAGGTGGCCGCCTGTTCAGCACTGCAAGACCACATTGCTGCAGCACAACAAGAGAGAGACTACTATCGTGGAGCTACTATCTCTGCTGCCGAACAGCTACAAGCCAGTGCCCAGTGTGCGCCACCATGTGCTCCATGCTCGCAAGCCACGTTCAAAACGCATTATACATTCGATTTTGCGCAAAACGTCAGCATACCTCAGGAGTGGCGACAAGTAGGTCCTCTCTACTTTAAAGTTCCAAGGAAAGTGCAGGTGTTTGGGGTGAACAACGAAGCTGTTCCGCACCAAGTGAACTACTTGATTGACGAGACGGACACCATCGGCACAAATGGCTCCAAGAGCCATGGCCCCAACAGTGTTGTAAGTCTCCTCCACCATTTCTTCGCACACCATGGTTATGGCGAAGAACAGTGTATCCTTTCTGCAGATAATTGCTGTGGCCAGAACAAGAATAAAACTGTTGTTTCCTACCTTGCATGGCGCTGTATGTCTGGCTTGCATAAGTGTATTGAGCTGCATTTCATGATCACAGGCCACACCAGATGTTTGGTCGATGGCTGCTTTGGTTTGCTGAAACGCAGCTATAGGCGCAATAATATCTATAGCATGGCCCAGTTAGCTGATGTAGTGAATGGTAGTGCTGCATGCAATCAGGCGCAGCTTATTCCTAGCTCCAATCTGGAGTGGCGTGAGTGGGATAAGTTCTTTATGCAGTTCTTTAAGCCCTTGGTCGGTATTTCCAAGCTTCACTACATGCGCTTTTCCAGTGCTGAGCCTGGTGTAGTGTATTGCAAAGAGAATGTTCATGCTGCTGAGCAGAGGCTTGCCTTGCTGAAAGTGCCTGCAGAAGATTTGCTTCGTGCTGGTCTGCCGAAAATCCTCAGTCCTGCAGGACTGACTGCAGAGAGGCAGCAGTACCTCTTTTCTCACATTCGCGAGCATGTTCCATCAGAGTTTCAAGATGAAGTTTGCCCGCCACCTACTGCATCTGCAGAGTGAGACAACATCCTCGCCGACCAGCCTGACATGGCACTTTGATCATTTCACATTCGTTTCTATTTTCGTGTATATACTTGTGCCATTGCTCAGTTACACACTTGTGCAACATTGCTTTTGATTACGCCTATTTGCGTAGATGCCCTCATGTACTCTAAAGAGTCTCTTGATGCTATGATGTATAGAAGACTCAATATCATGTTACCTATATGTACAGTATTTTTCACTTGATTTGATAATACTCTCCATCTGCTTCATTGGCACAGCTTTGTTTGGGCCATCAATTATTCGTTCAACACCGCTGGATTGTTTGCGCTTGAACATCATTTTCCGTATGTTTGGCAAGGACATAGGCGCAGACAAATGACTGTATCTATGGTGTTTCTTGAGATTTTTGAGTCTGGTTTTTTTATTGGTTTCTGCATGACATTCTGAAAGCTCTCGTATTGAAATCTCAAAACCGCCCTCCAAGTCCATTATCTGGGTTTTCGCTTGCTATTTAATTATTTTTTGGTTTTTTTGTGTTGATGTGAAATTTGCCAAGTACACTGTATGCGTATTACAATGGGTGCGGTGGGGCAGTGTAATTATTTTAGTGGGCTCATTTATGTGAGAACTCCGTTCCACGGTGGTAAGTGAAAGCCGTCAAGTCCGTGGTGGGAGTAGAGGTCAGAGACTGACAAGAAGGAGCATTGTTTTTGTTCGATTATCCACAAGCTAAACACCATACTGGCATATAGATCGGGCACTATTCAAGAGATGACACCATTCAAGAAATGCACTGTTATTTTAATGCTGCTGCATTTACGTCATCCAGCAGAAAACAAAGAAAGCGCAGCTTAACACAAGCATCTGCATGCGACACTCACACAACGAGCAACCAGTTTGGGAAATAGGAGGGTTTGTCAATTGATTTGCCAGGCTCCGAGTGAGTGACAGCTTAGAGCTGTGTGAATGTGTGTGTATGGCAGCTGGGCAGGGCCCTGCTGCGGAGGCTGAGTGAGCCGTATGGAGAGGCTAAGTGAGCCAAGGCTGAGTGAGCCGTCTGAGTGTGAGAGGCTGAATGAGCCGTATGAGGAGCCTGGTAAGCAAGGCTGACTCCCCTCCATGTATTTACAGAAATTCGCCGGTAGACGGCATCGGTGTAGTTATTGTACTTCCTCCGTATACAAAAACTTCGTGACTTTTTTTGAAAGCTGCGCACAGCTCTAGAATGGTTCCGTTTGACTCGGAGTAACACTCGTGGCATTGTCTAACCTGTTTACAAGCTATATACAAAGAAAAAAGCAACTCAGACGAATGAGATTGAGTATTTTCAGAGTCTTCGTCGCTCATGTCATTGTCACCTGACGACGATGACTCCGCATCGCCAACAGTCGCTGCTTCCGCTCGCATTTCGTTCAGATTCTTGTCACCTGCAGTGATGGTCCGACGCTGGACTTTGGCTACGTCCTCTTCATCTCTAGAGCTGTGTATGAATCGTTGTCGGACTATAATCAGTCGTTCCAACCCGCTACCTCCATTATGCCGTGAAACGAGTCGTACAAGCACATCCAAACGCTTCGCATTTTCTCGCCAGGATAATCCTCCCAAGCATTCTACAATGGCTTCGAGGAGGTCCCTGCGATTCCCCTTGGCGACAAAGGAGACGTCCGACTGGAGAGAGGCGAAGAAAGCCAGGCCATCGACATTCTGATCCTGAGTCTGCGATGGTTGCACGACGACTGAAATGTTTCATCTTGCCGTGCGAGCGAAAACAAATCTATGTTCTCACGCTGCGCAGATCTATGGGGCTGCGCACCGCACGTACGACGTAGATCCACGAGCCTGGCCAGTTTCAGGGCAGCGAGTGCCACGTGACTCCGTGTTCCAGCCACAAACTACACTTCGTCATTGTGTCGGTTTCGAGCAAATAAGTGTTAGTTTTTTTTCATTTGACTCTTGAGTTTCTGTCGGCAACGTCCTCACACGCATGGCATCCGTGGAGAATCTGTTCGGGATCAACTAAACTAACCTCGACATGGACGTGGGTTGTCGATGACAGCCTTTGGCGCCGTTCGTTGAGCAGGTCCTTTCTCAAAAACACCGTTCAAAAAAAGTCACGAAGTTTTTGTATACGGAGGAAGTAGGCCGGTATGATAAAGGATACCGACAGGAGAGAACTAGAATAGGAAACATGATGATGACAATAGTGGAGTGGG